TTTAACGGAATTTTTAACAGACTTGACGGTAAGGGAGAAAGTGAGACACAAAACATCGGTCAAGGGGGCAAAGTGGGTCACTTTAACTTTAAGGGGGTAAAGTGAAAATTGACCAATGTTTTAGGGGACACTGTAGCACTTAAGCTTATAAATAAACCCTACACCATTTACTTTATATAAACAAACCCAAAAAATGACAGCTAACCCTATTCAATTTAATTTTGATTATTAAATTACTTTGATGCCCTATTGAGTGTTTTAGGCTTTTTTATGAGATTTTGGGGTTGAGTTTGTTTTAAGAAATGAATGACAATTTTGTAATTTAAAAGAAGTTAAAAGCTTTTTTGTTATGTTGTAAATGGACTTTGGGTGTATTTCTAAAGTCCATTTGGTTTTTTAAAAATTTGAGCTCCCATATTGGGTATAATAGTGAATCTCCCTAATATTAAAGCTTGCTTCTATTGTTGTTGATTTATCTATTAGACAAATGATTTCCCAAAATTAATTGGGATTAGCAAATGATTGATTTGTTCATTTTCAGTTGTTAAATGACACTGGACCATCCAAACACTTGTGCTTATTTTATTCCTTTTGGTATAAACATTTGCCCCCAATTATTTGGGCCCATTTAGAGTAAGGGTGGGCATGAATCCGGCTGAATTGATGAAATCGGTTGAATCAAACTGTAATTATCAGTCTGGTTTGGTTTTGACTAAGAAAAATCGGTTTAAAAATTTAACAAGACTGTATGTGGTTTGGTTTTGAACTTTTGTAAACCGGCCTAAACCAAGTAGGATCGTTTATGTGTATATTTATTTATTTATATTATATTTTACATGTGTAATATTGTAATTAGGTAATATCTATATATGGATATTTGAATTGAGCTATATTAATTATTGAAATTTGAAGTTTTATGGCATCTTGAGCTAAGGATGGTTTCATACTCTAGAAAATTATTTAAGTATGGAGCAAGTTGTGAATTTGTTGGTTGTAATTGGGCTAACAATGTTGAAAAAATGCAAAAGGAAAGAGAATTGGGCTTAGGCCCAAACCGGTTGAATCGAACCAAACCGAAGCATCTTAAATTGGTTTGGTTTGGTTCAGTTTTTTTTTACGACTTTTGTCAAAACTGAACCAAACCAAACTGTTATATTGTAATTAGTTCGGCATAATTTTGAGGTAAAACCAATCTAATCCGGATTGTGCCCACCCCTAATTTAGAGACAACGAAATGAATCAAATAATGAATCAAGCTCAAAACGCCAAAAGCAATTGAGCAGCACTCAAAGGCTTAGCATTTACTGTGTCCCAAACTTTGCTATCTTCATTTTCGCCTGCTCATCTTAGCCATAGCTTGCATGATGGAGTTACCTCAACTCATTGCTGCTCCAGAATTTGTGTAATGCCTCAAATGATTTAGGGAAAAAAGATTTGTGTAATGCCTCAAATGATTTAGGGAAAAAGTTACTTTTAGTCCCTATAGTTTGATTCTATCGCAAATCAAGGATACAACCAAATTTCCATCCAATTTCATCCAAAATTATGTCCAAAATACCTCTCCATATAAGAGACAAGTATTTATTCTGTCAACAAATTGGACGAAAATTTGGATGTGTTCTTAAATTCCAATAAAATCAAACTATATGAGTCAAATTGGCAGAACTAAACTAAAAGGACGAAAGTGAAAATTTCGCCAAATTACAAGGAACGAAAAATGACTTTTGCCAATGATTTATGGTGCTGATTTTCCTTTTTTCTTTTGTTGTTGTTGTTGTTGTTGTTGTTGTTATATTCATAAACCAAAAGTCGTTTTGAGAGGTGATGGAGTTCAAATCCTGAGGTCTTCAAAATTGCTTGTAATTTCTAATTTATTTCTTGTAGTTGTATTGTTCTACATGCATAAGAATTCTATATCTTGTTTATGTGGTTTGATCGGTGCATATTTATTTATCATTTTGTACCCTTCTAACTTATGATTTGATTATGTTTTTGAGTTAAACTTGTGCTTTTAATAAATTTTGTGTTTGTTTCAGTGTAATAAGCTTGAGACTCATTAAATGCATTTTGGAGACAAGTTAACTCAAAATTTTGTGTTTGTTTCGGTGTCTGCAGATCAGTCAACTTCACAAATTGGATTGTACTTGCTCAAGAAGAACCAGATGATGATCCATATATCATTGGAAAGATACGGAAGTCTAGTTTTTGAAGAATTTTACGGTTCATAATTCCGAGTCTTCTAGAGGAAGTTATGCAAGTTTTGGCAGCTTAAGGTCAAATTCGGCAGCATCTGCGTTATTGGGCCAAAAATGACATTTGAAGGTCTTTCCGATTTTTTCTTGAGTTGGGCTGCATATGCTTGGAAACATAATTCAAAGGGGTTCATGATTCCGAGTCTCCTAGAGGAAGTTATGCAAGTTTTGGCAGCTTAAGGTCAAATTCGGCAGCATCTGCGTTATTGGGCCAAAAATGACATTTGAAGGTCTTTCCGATTTTTTCTTGAGTTGGGCTGCATATTCTTGGAAAGATAATTCAAAGGGTTTGAAGATCCAGATTTTTCCAGATTTTTTTGGAGGGAAGATCAAGCCCAAAACAAGCCCACAAGCTGACTGCAATGCATTGTCAATTCCAGTATATTTTCAGCAGTCAACTTGCAAGGCCCAAAACGTACACTTGTACTGCTCATATGGGAATACATTCTTCATACAAGTTGTTCCAATGGGTGTCTATTATGACATATCCAAATTTGAGCCCCATTGGATACATATTGAAACCTCAGGCCTTCCTACACTAAGCCTGGTTCAGAAGAATCGTTTTTTCTAGCAACCAAAAGAAAACCCACATGGGTTGGCAGCAAAAGGCAACCACAATTGAACACTTTTGAACACCCATGTGAAGAAAGCTTGAGGTGCAGCAAAAGAAGTATGAGATGAAATTGATTCCAACCACACTAACATAGACAAGATGAAGTGGGAGTTATGGATTGTATTAAAAGAGGAATGGTGGTGTTGGAATTCATCATGATGTTCCTCCCTCTTAGCCCTATAAATAGAAGAATTCTTCAAGCTTC